TATCTGAATAGTATTCGGTACGGTACGGTATTGATCGGTACCAAATACTTGATACCGCTACCATACCATACTCTATTGGTACGGTACGGTACGGTACCGAATATTGATCGGTACCGAATGAAACGGTATGAAATCGGTATGGTACGGTTCGGTTAGGGTACGGTTTCGGTATTTCGGTTTTAGATGCCCACCCCTACCTGTAAGGTGCATGAAAAAGCTATTCTATTCTGACCATTGAATCCTTGATTAAAAAACACCAAAAAAAACTCAATCAGATGTAACATAGTAAAGAAACCCATCAGAAAATTAAACAAATTCATACCCATCCAGAAAATTAAAAAAGTAAAACTCATTCATCCACACCTTCTGAATTCCAGTCCTGATTTTCTTTAGATAGATTGCTTTGTGCAATTTGGCTTGTAAGATGGAGTTTGATCAAGAAGGGAGAGGGGTGAAGAATATGATGTACAAATATAGGTGTACTAAACCAAACACCAAGAGGAAGGAGTAGAGCGGTAGTGGAGCGGCGGGGGAAGGGTTGCAGAGGTCCGACGAAGCGCCGACGATTAGAAACAAATCCTGATTTGAAGAAGACCATGTTTAACCACTAAAAAAAAACTTAATTTGAATACTAATTGGAAACAAATAAATAACCGATTCAACAATTGCTTATGAGAAGAAAGCATTCATCCAAAAAAAAAAAAAAAGGGTAAGCTAAACAGAAAAAGAATCTTAACCATGGAGGAAGGAGCAGAGCGGCGGAACGACGTCAGAAGTCTGGCGGAGCGATGGCAGAAGTCCGGCAAAGCACCTGCGATGGGGAGGAGAGGAAGGAGGGAGAAAGGGAATTGGGGGAGGCAAACTAATTCAGTAGGGTTTAGTTTTCTTTTTTTAAAATTTAAGTAAAGAAAAATATAGAAAATATTATCTCCTTAAAAAAGAACTAATATAATTTTAATGAGGTGGTTGTCCACATCAGCTGCCATGTAAGATGGTATTAAAATGTGGTAGATTTATGTGGTAAGCATAGCATTACCCAGAGTAAATAACCCTATAGGTTGGGGGGTTTACTATAGTTTGTCATATTATATATAGCAACGAAAGTGTTAAATCAATTTCATGAGTTCGAAAGCAAAATCTTTCAACCAAGTGTTTTATAGGTCATGTGATCGATGTCATGGAACTAAAATCAAATAAGAGAGGAGATAAAATTCACCCATGGAGCGAGTTTTAAACATTATCCAACTATTCCACCAGGGTTAATGAAGCTTAAACTTGATCTTTTCTCTTTGAAAAGGTTTCCAAGTAACAACACTATGCGACCTCTAATTTTCTTCACCCCCTCAATTGTGCAAAAAAATTGGTGAAATAGTTGGATCCCATTTTTCAGGCTTTAGGAAGGTCCTTACTGAATCGTACTCTTCTGTAGCAAATGATTTCTATCGTCCTTGGAACGTCAGTAAAGGGCATGAGTTGAGGTTGATTCAGACATGTTTCAGACTTCAGACTGAATAGATATACTTCCTATAACGCATCTTATGACGCATTCTAAGCTGAGGCGGTGCCAAAAAGTGGATATCATTGAAAGAGTTATATGAGTAATCACCTCCGCATTACTTCAAATACACTGTACAATATCACCAACAGTGGATTAAATTACATAAAAGAAGAGATGAAGTTTAAACCAAAACAAGATCCCCTTCCTGTTGATCTTCTTGTTCCTCGGGCAGCCTTCCCTCCCGATATGGCAGAAGAATACGCTTAATATCTTCTGCACTTAGAGTCTCATACTCTAAAAGTGCATTTGCCAATGCATGTAATGCCTTTTCATGCTGAAAAATGTGAAACAAGAAAAGTCAGTGAAGTCCATGATTGCCTAAAACCAAATGTGAATGCTGGCTATTCCTATAGAATACAAACCTTTTTTAGAAGGGCTTTTACACGATCATATGCTTCTCTTAACAGTTTCACAACCTGAAGAACAATTTAAACCAATTTAGATCCAAAACTAATTTCATAATAATTTAATAATAAAGACCCGAGATTCCAAGAAAATACTTCGGCATCAATACGAGATTGCATTTCGGGGCTCGGTCGATCTTTGATATGAACTGGCCCAATTGTGTCGCTCATGCCACAGCTTGAAACCTTAAACCGCAAAGTTGACAATAGCATTAAATGATTAACATAAAAGTGTATATGTCTTAGCTGAAGATGGACATCGAGAAATAATTTGTTCTTCAGTCACCAAACAATGGAAATTGTGAAACAAACATTAAAAAAGTAGAGCATATATGTAATAAATAAACAGATGCTGAGGAACAAACAATGACTTCAAACACAACAATTTTATTGCTTAGACAAAAGGGAAACTTGGACTATCCAAGGAAAACATAAATTTAATTAGGAAGAATATTAACTTACTTACATGAGTACCTTAATGGAATTAATACTGGATTTCTTAAAAGATGGAATCTACATGCTAGGATAAAGAAAATACCATATAGTGGGCAAGCTCTGAAGCTGTATGTAGATCACTGCTTGCTCCAGTTGTGATATGATCCTGACCGAAGATTATCTCTTCTGCCACTCTTCCTCCCATGCAGACATCAAGACGGGCTAATAACTGCCTCTTGCTAATTGATGTCTCATCATTGGAGGGGAGCTGGGTGACCATTCCTAAAGCAGACCCACGAGGCATAATTGTTGCCTTGTGAATTGGATGTGCCCCCTCAGTATTGAAAGCAACAATTGCATGACCACTTTCATGATATGCTGTGAGCTGAATGATGTGTAATTATTTTAGTAAATAACAATTCACGTTCAAACTGTAAGCATTTTGGACTTCAACTTCCTTGTGAATGATATGCATACCTTTTTCGAGTCTTCAGATATGAACATTGTTTTCCGCTCAGTACCCATAACGATCCTGTCCTTCGCAAACTCTAACTGTGTAGCAGTCAACTTCTCAGCGCCTTCAACAGCAGCTTTAATGGCAGCAATATTTACCAAGTTTGCAAGATCTGACCAAGATTACAAAGAAAAATGGAAATAAGAAAGTGGGGAGGTTCATGCCAGGAGAGACTAAAAAGTTATGAAACAATTTTCTATGAAGATGCTAATTTCATATATTGAAAGGAGCCGACCTGCCCCATTGAATCCTGGTGTACCACGAGCAATAGCTTTAACGTCTACATCATCACCCAATGGTTTATCCTGTAGATAGAGCTCCAATATCTCTTGACGACCTCGCACATCTGGATTAGGAACAACAATCTGCATAATAACATTTGTTACTCTATTCTTTCAAAGTAAATAAAACAATTGACCAATAAATTGATAATAAAAGCTACACAACCTTGTTCCAAAAAAAAGGCAAGATAAACCTTAAACCATCAATTGATTCTGTATGAATACTGGATTCTCTTTTATTGAGTAATCTTGAAAAATTTACAACAGGGGACAAGTTGTGTCCTGAAAACCCGCCGCCAAACTTACATAACAAACTAATGCTACAAAAGCTAAGAGACTTGAGTCAGTTCCCAGCACAAAAACATCCCTCTGGAGTGTCATAAGACACCTCCAACTTTTTTTCCAAGTCCTTGCACAAGTTAAAAGCCAATTCTAAACTTATGTTTTTTTTTTTTTTGGCAGAATAGTGTGGGACATATATAGTAGGATTTCTTCTACCAAAACAAATGTAGAAGAGTTAAAGGAAATAGTACAAAACAATGGACACAATCTCCAGTAGAGCAGAGGTCTATAGAACCTTAAAGTACAACAAAACTAAAACATCAACAACCTTAATTACAACAGAAAACCAGTTAAGAACTAAAGGCACTAATAAACAGCTTTATTCAAATTTGAAAGAGCTATCCTTCAAATGTAAAGTAATGGAAGCCCGAAGAGATTGCCGAAAACAAACAATATTCCCACAAATAAACCTGTCTCCTCAGCCCTCAGATTCTCGAAAATCCTCTTATTCCTCTCCGCCCAAATGACCCAAAAACTAATCATCACAACAAGCAAGCAGCTAGAGAAAAAATTTAATGGCGGTGGAACTATGTTGGGTAGACAACAATCACAAAGAGATGATTGAAGAAGGTTGAATTATCTAGAGAAAGCTACAACCTTGTGGCTTGAATAATAAATCCAAGTCGGTGGACTTGGTGATGTCGGCAAACAATACCTATAAATATGCATGAATGTACTCATATAAGGTGGAGTTAACCAATAGAATTCCCAATCTATACGGGAGCAAAAAAAGCTACCCAAACCAATCTATGTCGTGGAGCTTCCAAGAAAGAAGCTCAAGTAGCCAATAGCTACAACAATCAAATGTGGTGGCCAAAAGCCACAAGGGAGCTACAGAGTGAGCTACCCAACCTAAAGAGGGTGATGATTAGCCAAGATGCAACCAACCCATGGTGGCCAATAGCCTCAAGTTCTATGTACACCAAGCTAAGTACTATCCTCCTCCATTCTAATAAAATCTTTCGTTTCAACTATTGTCCTATACTTCCTAAACCCCTTCACCTATAAATCCAAAAAGTGGTATATCTTCCCCACAACCATAAGCTTCTAGCCCACAGGAGTTGATCTAACAAGGGGTTTCGTAGTTGAAACAGAAGAAGTGGAGATTTCTTGTTTGAAGTTTGTGGATGACACAATTTTCTTCCTTTGCAAGGGGGAACAAAATTTTAGAAATTTATTGATGATTTTGGAACTTTTCAATACTATTTCGGGACTGAAGATAAATAGAAGCATAGTCTTTGACTAGCAAACCCTAGTTCATTGATAATATGATGGAGACATCATTGTCAAACCACTTAGAGTTTATGAGAGAGAGATGGAAGAAGAGTAGTCATAATCCGGTTATGTCTTTGTGGCTGGATTAATTGCTCTTCATCTTCTAAGCTTCTCCATCAGAGACTTTTCATATTTCTTTGGGAGTTTCTAGAGTTCTACAATCTATTTATTTTCTTTAAAAGCTTTAAATAAGTGTCTTTAGGTTTTCTTGTCATAAAGTCTTGGTGCATGTTTCCAGTAATAAAGTCTTAGTACATGTGATGCAGGAGCATCTATGAAGCTCTCTAAGATTACTTAGGCCTGTGAGTCAATTGAGCTAGGGTTCTTTTCTTTTCCTATTCTTACTAGGATTTGGTTTAATTTCTTGTTTAGGTTTTTAGTTTCCTATGTCAATTTGGTTTTCTGTATTCTAGTATAAATAGGCTAGTTAGAGACTCTTGTATGCAGTTTTTGTTGATGAATATAATTTCAGACTTTAAGTCCATAGAGTTTCTATTGGGATTTTTCCCTAGAACTCAATTATCTTCATTCCAACTTCGATTCTAATGCTTTATCCTTCTGTTCTCTGTATTTTGAGTATGTTTGGGTCACTGGACAGCAGCTTATAGCTGCTGCCCTACATCAAATTGGTATCAAAGCCAGGTTAATCCTTGCTCCACACCATGGTTGGATGTGCTCGAGGTCGTGGATGAGGGAACCAAGCCCAACAAAAAGAGATGGCTGAGATGTGGCATATCATGGAAGAGTTGTCGAGAGCGGTGCAAGCCCTCCAACGACAAGAAAACGCGGATGCCTATATGGAGATTCCGGAACTCAACCGCAAACCTTTAGACATACCAGAAGATGGTCGTAAGGACGACTTTGAAGAAGAGGTAAACCCCTTTCATGAAGCTAGAAACCATGGTGATGGTGATCGAGGTGGATTGGAAAGAGCGGTTTGCTCTGATTCTTTAGTTAGTTTTGTAAAGTTAGATATCCTTCCCATATTTGATCGTTGTTTAGAAGAGGATTGTGAATTTTGTTTTGAGGTTGAGAAATGTTTTGATTTTGACAATGTATATGGTAAGAGTAAGCAAGATGAATCTAGTGTAATCTTGAAGGTGGTGGATCAAGAAAAGGTTGGGTCTGAACTTTTGAAGGAGCACAATCCATACAAGTTTGAAGGCAAGGTGATACAAGAAAGTCTTGAAGGAACCATTAGAGATGAGATGACTTCTAGTGATACTTCTAAATATGTTGATTTTATAGGAGTTGATGCTTTTGATTTGAAGATTGCCAAGAACTTCATTGATCGTGTCAATCTAATGGCTTTTGGATTGAACAGCTTTTGGGCTGCGAGGTTGTACACTAGATAACTTGAATTGTTCTAGAGGGATTAAATATTCTAAGTATCTATTTCTTTGGAGTGGGAAGGTTCAATTTCAAGGTCAAAGTTCTATAGACAGTTTATGTAAGTGTATGTCATGTTTGGACAGTTTTCAGCGAAAGGTTGGAATTCGAAGACGAATTCTTCACAATCCGGTGGAATTGATGCAAGAAAATAAACATAAGTATTCAAGAGTGGTTCGATATTCAAAATATCTCTTTGTTTAGAAAGGAAGAATTCAGTTTCAAGCTTCTCATGCAGTATATTCCAAATACCTCTTTGTTTGGAAATGAAGAATTCAGTTTCTAGTTTCTCATGGAGTCTTTGTTGATAACAGTTTAGACTCGAGGACGAGTCTCTTCCAACCTGGGGAGTTTGATGCAAGAGCATCTACAAAGCTCTGTAAGATTACTTAGGCCCGTGAGTCAATTGGGCTAGGGTTCTATTTACTTTAAATTATTAGTTATTTCTTTTCTTTTCCTATTCTTATTAGGATTTGGTTTAATTTCCTGTTTAAGTTTTTAATTTTGTCAATTAGGTTTTCTGTATTCGAGTATAAATAGGCTAGTTAGAGACTCTTGTATGCAGTTTTTGTTGATGAAAATAATTTCAGACTTTAGTCTATAGAGTTTCTATTGGGATTTTGCCCTAGAACTCAATTATCTTCGTTCCAACTTCGATTCTACTGCTTTATCCTTCTATTCTCTGTATTTTGGGTATGTTTGGGTCGCTGGACAGCAGCTTATAGCTGCTGCCCTGCATCAACATATATCTAGTAATAAAGTCTTTGTGCATGAATTTAGACTATTTGTATTTGGGAGTCTTAAATGTTAGTTTTGGGTATAAATATATGTAAGTGCCTTGGGCAAAGGCAATGAACCTTGATAAATAAACAGTTATCATAAATTTTCCGGCCTACTTTCCTGCGATGGGAGTTTTGGTGTGAAGCCAAGTTTTGGTGAAAAGCTAAGTTTGTCCTTATCTTTATTATTAAGAGGTTTGCTGTTTAATTTCCATTATTCTATCAAGTACTCGTTTCCTTGTTGATATTCTAGCCAATTCTTCTTTTATTGCCTTGTTTCTAAACTTGTTTTCATTGAAGCCTATATAAAAAGATAATCTTGAGCCTATATGGAATTTAAAGACTTTGTATTAGACTTTGAACACATCCTACACTAGAGGAATCTACACAATTCTCGGAACCACTTACATTCTGGATTTTGAAGAGCATAATGCGGGCAACAAAGTTAACTAGTTTCATGCATATTTCCTACTGTGAATTCCTTGTTTGTTGATGGGTGTTCATGCCTGGTAAAATTTAATAGCTTGAGTTGATTCTAAAATTGATCTTGGTACTAGTTAACTCATATGCTGCATCATAATCTGTACAATCTAGGATAAGAACAAGAAAACAAGTTTATGACATGAGAATTGTCTTTCCAAGGGCTAAAACTTGAACCCCAAATGATTGAATGACAATATTGGAATCCCAGGTGTTTGCATGCAGCCTATTTTCTTCTAATGACAGAATAAAAAAGGGCATTGGAATCTCCACAACCATTTTGCCAGTAATACCTCATTCCTCTTCATCAAACTACCCACCCCAAACCTCCTTTTTATTTCTCATTGGACATGACATCCCATCTGATAATCATTTTTCATTGAAGATTCTACAGAAATGAAAGGTTACAAATCTAGAAACATTATTATTATTTTTTTAAAGGAACAAATTGTATTAAAAGAGGGACAAAATACAAAAGTGGATAAGAAATCCACAGCAGGCAGAGAAGAAGAACAAAGAAAAAACAACCCAGCTCCCACAAACCAAAAAGACAACCCAGAACAACCTTAAGCTCTAAAACCAGAGAAACCCTGCTCCCTAGACAACCACAACTAAACTCTCAACGATTTGGTCATTTCGGAACACCGACACCCACTTTTCTAACGATTTTTCTATCTAATTTCCCTCCCTCAACCTTACTAGCAGAGCCCAAACCAATAATAAAAAAAAGGAATAAAAGAAAGTGTAATCCACAGAAAATATAAATAACTTACATGCCTATCAAATCTACCAGGCCTTGTCAGAGCTGGATCAAGAATATCAGGCAAGTTTGTTGCAGCCATCAGAATTATTCCCTGCAGAAATGTCAAAACTTCAGAAATAGTAGAAAGGAACCCATAAATACAGAAAGATGCTTTAATATACCTCATTCTGCTCAAAACCATCCATTTCAACAAGTAGTTGATGCAGCGTTTTCTTTGTATGCCCTTCCCATTGTTTCCGAGTGGATCCAACAGCATCTATTTCATCAATGAAGATGATGCACGGAGCCTGTGAGAAATGAAAATCATACAAAACGCAATCAGAAGACATGCCAAGGAACCGCTTGTATGTGATGCAGGACGTGTAGGACCTAAATTTATTAGTTTCCTAATGTATTTGTTAGTTTCCTAGATTCTTTAGTTTTCCAAGTTCTAGTAGGATTTCTACCTTTCCAGATTTCCAGATTTCTAATTTTAAGTTTCCTATTTTATTTGGGTTAGGATTTATGTTTAAGCAAGGGATTTTTATCCTATTATGTCTAGGTTTTAGTTTGCTATAAATACCCCCATGTAGTTCTTTAAAATTCAGATTTGAATGTTGAGTATACCTTTTCCTAGAACTCTCTGATTTCGTCCCTTCGATCTATATTTCTTCTCCTCGATCTCCGATATTCTTCTTTGTTCTACTGTTTCTTTCCTTTATCTCGTCTTTTTGATCTCTATTTCTTCTCCTCGGTCTCTTATATTCTTCTCTATTCTGTTGTTTAAAGTGCTTAATCATACACCTACGGGCTGTACTACATCAGTATGACTTCAACAAAGTGCATAGTTTTAGAAAATGTAGAACAGATAAACAAAATTACCATATGAACACTGTTGAGTTACTTAAATGGGGGTCGAATGACTAGACGCATGAGGAAATTTGAAAGTTTCCTTAGGGAGGCTGAACTTAGGGATCTTAGGCTACTTCATCCAGTTTTGGGGAGAGGTTGGCCTGTTCAAGGCAGGATGGTTTCTCTTCTCTCCTTTCAGGGAGGATCTTTTCCCTAGTTTTAGACCAGGAGGTGATATAGTACAGCCCGTAGGTATTAGATTAAGCACTTAAACAATAGAACAGAGAAAAATATAAGAGATCGAGGAGAAGAAAATATAGATCGAGAAGACAAAAGAAAGGGCAAAACAGTAGAACAAGAAGAATATCATAGATCAAGAAGAAGAAAATACAAATCAAAGGGACGAAAGAAAGGGCAGAAATCAGAGAGTTCTAGAAAAGGTCAACATTCAAATCTGAATTTTAAAGAACTACATGGGGTTATTTATAGCTAAATAAAACCTAGAAATAATAGGATAAAAATCCTTTGCTTAAACAGAAATCCTAACACAAATAAAACAAGAAACTTAAAACTAGAAATATGGAAATCTGGAAAAGTAGAAATCCTACTAGTAATTGGAAAACTAGGGAATCTAGGAAACAAACAAATACATTAGGAAACTAATAAATTTAGGTCCTACGAGCCCTGTTAGGATTTTGGCTCATCAAATATGTCCTAGTTGGTTTAGGATTGCTTTAGGAAAATTAGAGGTATTCTTGTCCTAGAGGGATTAGGAAAGAATGTCAGTCTTCCTTATTCAATTTAGGTTTGGTTTTCTAGAAGCCTATTTGGTTTTGGATAAGTGTAATTTCCTAATCCACTTAGGAATAGGAATTCAATCAGCCTTGGGACATGTAAGCCAACTCTATATCTATAAATAGGGTGTGGCAAGCCTTATTTTGAGAGAGGGAAAAACAGCAAGAGACAGCCAAGAGTTTTGAGATTAGTCCTAGGGTTTGCAAAAGTTTTGTAATCTCTATTATTAATCAAAGGAGCAGTGATTTCTCTACCTAGAGAAATCACAACTGGACGTAGGCAAAAGTTCTGCCGAACCAGTATAATTCTTGTGTCTAAGTTTTCTAATATTTGCTAGTTTAGTCTATTGCCGTTGGTTACATTAAAGAACAAGATCCAGCAGCAAGTTATTTAACACGTCCTGCATCAGGAGGCCCTTGTAATGATTGTGTCAGATCATTTCGCTATCCAAGACAAGGTGTCCCTCACCCTTTAGGGTTGACACTTGACAAGATGAAGTAAAACCGTAAGGGTTTCAAGGAAAACTTCAAGAACTGGAGGGAGGAATGTTGGGTTCAGGAATGGACGTGTTACGGAAGTTGAGGATTTGAAAAAGGAGCTGAAAATCTAGAACAAGGATTTGGTGATATTAGACTAAGGCTGCTATTCCAAATCAAACAAAAGAGATTGATATAGAGAAAAAGGGTGAGACGGTACCATGAGGCAAGACAGCAAAGACTTTAGAAACAGGTTTGAAGAATTGACCAATGTTACCTAGAACGAAGTTTGAGTTGATACGTGGAATAGGGTATGTTAGGATAGACTTAGTTTGTCGGGTGTTTTAGGTCATGGCTTGTTTTGAACTCTTAATGCGATCAATAATTTTTAAATAAATTATACTTGTAGCCCGTACCTAAGGTTTTTGGGAGCCAGATCTTTAAAAGGTTAGTAAGGGACTAGATGGGTGGAAAAGGGTTCCTTGTCTTGGGGTGGTAGCTTTGCGCTGACCGCGCTAATAAACCTTTTGCCCTCATACAAGATCAGAAGGCTACAACATTTTCTTCATTGGTGGATGAAGATGGAACAAAGTATCTTCTGGTTGACCATGGTCCCAGAAAAAGAATACAATCGAGAAACGACAAGCATAACTAGAGTAGCCATACATACAAAACTATTTCCAGATCTACGTGTCGAATGGAACTCAAAGTTCTAGACTCACTTTGGTGAAAATTGGGTAGTGAGTAGTCTTCCAACCTGCTTCAGGTCTCCATTTAAATTATCAGTTAGGGTGAAAAAAACAGTTGAGAAATTATTTCAAATTTATGAAGAATTGTTTGCGGGAAGGTCGAGAAGAGTGTAGAATAGATCATCTACTCAGCTTAGTTAAAGACGAAAGGAGAAAGGGGGAATTGGTATCAGGTAATCTGAGTAAAAGGAATATTGCTCTCTGGGGAAATAGTTGTGGTGGTTTCCCCTTGAACAAGATTCTTTTTGGCTCACGATTATTAGGAGCAAGTTTGGATTGCATTCTAATGGATGGATTTTTTTTTTGGGCTAGAATCAGTTAGTTGATCGAAACTAGATCTTGTGGAATGATAATGAATATCAGACAATACATTTTGTACCTTGCTAAAAAACTGATCCTTGCCAAACAACATATTGTCTAACCCCAAGGACAAACACCTAAGGAACAGGAACAATTCTCAAGACAAAACACTCATTGTTTGGAATCCGTGTCTAGAATAGGATGTTAACTGTCGAGGTGAGTCTTGAAGAAGCTGAAATATATATCACGATTCAAGACTTGAAAAGTTCATGATGGCTAAATGAAAGAGCTCTTCCTAGGTATATATGAAACATAGTTAGCATAAGAGTGCATCTTCTGAACAAGTTTCAAATGTATATCATTTACCCTTGACGCATATGATTTACACAAGAAAATTTTTGTTAGATCATTGTTTTTGTGTACACGATTCTTCGTACCTCAGTCCCGACTGATCACACAATTTCTATGATTAATTGTTACACGTTTACAGTTGGTCGTGTTCTCTACAAAGCGTTTCTGATTGATTATGCATGGATGATCCATACTGTACCTTCCCTGCGACTCATCATGACTGTCGTGCTGGATCTACTTGATTTATTTGTTTTATTGATAAATATATAAATACTAAGTTGTGTCCACTACTATCTCAGATTTAGTGTTGTTAATTCCGTTGTTCAGAGTGATCAATCCTACATTTCTTTGTGGTAGATTTCCCCTATGAATTTTCTTTTACACAGACCTATTCTTCAGTTTCCTCGCAAGCCTTCGAGCCAAACGTCACACAAATTAACTCTAGCTTCTTAAAAATCTCCTGTCTTTAGTAGCATCACTAAAACACTTACCTGACCACTCTGCACAACCTAAGTCCACTTTTGTGGAATAACTTCTCAATCTATTTCTCTCCATGATTCTCATCATCCACCACCTCTACAAAGCCTCATCTACCTCTAAGTTTCCTATTTTATTTGGATTAGGATTTCTTTCCTAAAATAGGTTTAATTTTCCTTTTCACTCTAGGGTTAGATTATTATAAATACCCTTCTATGTAATTCATTATGGAGTTGAGATTTGAGATATTAAGAAAAGTTTACTTTCCAGAGATTGGAGACTCCTTGGTGTGAAGCCAAACCCCTGGAGTGATTCCAGACCTATCCTTGTTCGTTCTATTTTCTGTTTTCCGTTGTTTTCGCTTCCCCTAAACTACCTAAATCTACAATTCATCCATGTCCTACATCAACTTCTCTCAAATCTCTCGAGTTCTTTTTCTTAACCAGTCCCACTTTACACTGGAAATACATATTGACAGAATTGCCATCATTCTGGCTCTCCATGTTCTATGTATGCAGCTATGTAAGAAATATCAAATTATTTCATCTTTGATTCTGGTTAATGTTTCATGATGAATAGTTATCTCAATAGCTCAAAGTTTTAGTAAGCCCTTGGGGCTAGCCAAAGTGCTGTGGGTGGATGGGGTAATGGGTAACGATTAGGATAGGTCTAGGGTTCGATTCCATCTAGTGTAACCAAAATAGTGGAATGTCTTAGTTGCTTACTTAATCAATTTAGTACATATTCCCATAAATAATTTTTTAAGGCATGCCAAATTGCCACCAAAAAATGCCTCATAACCAACAAACCTTTTTTTTGGCTGCTTGGAATAAGGATCTTACACGCCGAGCACCAACTCCAACAAACCTGTCATCCAAATACGTAACATGAGATCACTACAGGCTTGGCAATGTCAACTAATTCCCAGATATAAGCACAGCTCACATTGTAAACAGTGACAACAAAAATCAGATCTCAATTGATTAACGCTCATACATTAAAGGAAAAAAAGGAACAAAGAGCAAAAGAGCAAACAAACAAAAGAAAACATACAAAAGCTTCATCTTTGAAGAATGTCACACAAGCATACATGAGTACGCTGTTGAGCAACAGTAAAGGCTGATATATTTGTGGTGCTGTTTATAGCAAAGTAATAAGATCAATAATTATTCATATCTGAACAGCCAGATGGCCTAAAATACCAACAGAAACTTCATAATAATATCCCAATCTAAGTATATGTATCAACTAAATAGCTTGATAATTCACTGCCACAAATAGGGAGTAGCGATGCTTTGAAACCCATCCAAGATCTGACATTCAACAACATGCTTGAAGTTAAACAATTCTAACTTTCTAAGACCAGAACCACTGACTAGCAAAGCTTTACAAGGACCTGATAATGAGCAAGTTAATGTGAAACAAGGTGATGGGTGTAATTCAATTTTCAGGTACAGATCTCATAATAATGGGTTAGACATGATTTAACAAGCCAAAAAAGACCGACTCCTGAAATGGATAACAGATAAGAATTTATAATAACATATTCTTTGTACTGCATTCGACAATTTTAAATCTGCTACAGTTGATTTTAACCATCACTGGGAAAAGTATAATTATTTAACCAGTCCAAAAAACCAAGACTGCAAATTATCCTCAAAACAATCTAGCTAAACAGCATGCAACAGGACTTATTTAAATGAAATGAAAAGTAGAGATACCTAAAATAAAATATCGGAAAACATAAAGCTTTCAAAAAATAGCACAATATTGAGATTTTTTTTCATATGTAAAAGCTTATAAGATGGCTCACATTTCCTCAAACTCAGATCCTGCTCTATAGAAAAATGGTACACCAGCTTCTCCTGCAATAGCCTTCAAGGTCCAACATAAATCAGAATTTTTTTTTTTTTTTGGGAACTTTTTTATAAGAAACATAATTTCATTAAAAAGGAACAGAACAATACAGAGGACAAGTAGTCCGCTGATCTAGCTAGAAAATGCCAGCCAGCTAAACACAACAACAAAGACTGCAAAACATAGCAAAGCAACAAAGTTACATGGCAGCAGACCAGTAAAGACTAGTGAACAGCAGAATTCCAAGCATACAACTAAGCTTGAAAAGAATTATCCCAAAATTCAGAAGATACCGACATCCCAAAAACGAACTCCGTCCCATAGAAGATCCATCTCCACATCCCTTGCTCTACCAAAAAACCGATATCTCCCACATAACAATGAAACAAAAGAGGCTGGAGTTGGTCAACTGAAATGGGTCTACCTAAACAGTCTTCTCCATAAGGTCAAAGCAAGGGGCCAATGGAGCAATGGGTGATCTGAACTCTCAGAAGATTTTTTTATATAGAAACTTTACAAATTCAAAAAAGAGAGACGAAGAAACAATCAAGTGGATAAGGAATCCACAAGAAAAAACAAAAGAAAGCTACAACCTCAAGACCAAAACAACAAAGGAAAGCAGGCCAAGAAAACAAACTAGAAGGCCAACCAGGAAAAGAGGAAAGAACAACAGATCACTTCACAACCGCTAACAAATCACGCATAATAGAAGAGACAGCCAAATCCTTAAAAATAGGAGTAACCAAAGCCCATAACGCCTCCCAAAACTTCACTCTATCACACATTTCAGCTACCCCCACACCCTTGTAGTCCTAAAAAATTCTTCTGTTACGCTCCAAGCACAATTTCCAGAACACTACATGCACCAAGCAACCCCACAGAACTTTAGCTTTCTTCCCCCTACCCAGCGCATCAATCTTGGAGGATAACAGCTGAAAGCAACTTTTAGGAATAACCCAAGCAGCATTAACTTCCCACAGAAGTAATCACCACACCTTTAAGAAGTAGGGGCAGTGAATGAACAAATGATCCGGCTTTCCCTGTCCATATTGCAAACAGTGCACCAGTGAGAGGATAAGCACATAAAGGGGCGATGCCTCTGCAAAGTGTCACAAGTATTAACTTTCCTAATGGCAACCTGCCAAAGAAGAATTTTAACCTTTGGGAGAGTCGTAGACTTCCAAATTTGAGGGTACGAGGGAACTCCTCCGCACAACCATTATCCTGAATGAAGGAACAAAAAGAATGGCACGAGTATAACCCTGAGTGATCCAACTTCTGCCTTCTGTTGTCCCTCCTAGAGGGAACCAATCTAACTCTATCCAGGATAACCAGTAACCTAGTCGCCACATCAATCTCCCCCAAAGTAAGGTGCCTTCTAAATCTGAAATCCCAAATGTGAGGATACACTCCAGAACTCACAACGGAAGAGATACTGGATTGCTTCTTACTGGACAGAATGAAGAGTCTGGGCAAAACCTCTTTGAGCACACCTCCCCTACACCAATCATTCTCCAAAATCTCACCCTATCCCCTCCACCACCCACAAAATCGCAGCCTTGAAGAAATACAGGGTAACCACTAGAAATGTCTTTCCACTGGTTACGACAAGAGCCACGAGATAACACATTAGCATTCCAGCCATTAGCACTTACCCCATAAATACTCTTGATCACCTTGTGCCAAAGAGAATTAGGTTATTTGGGGAATCGCCACAGCCACTTGGTACACAAAGCCACATTCCTTACTTTTAAAGAACCCAACCCTAAACCGCCATTATTTTTTCATCTTTCAACAACCTCCCACCTGACCAAGTGAGTTTCCTTCCCATCATCAATACCTTCCTACAAGAAATCTCTCATTAGCTTCTCCACATAACTCACCACAAGGCTCGGCATTTTGAAAAGAAACATGTAATAAATAGGAATACTCTTCAAAACAGCCTGAATCAAAGTGAGTCTTCCACCTTTGGATAAACATGTCTTCTTCCACTTCTGCAGCCTTTTCTCTACCTTCTCCACAACCAGATCCCAAAAACAGTGTTCTAGGATTCCCACCAAGGTGAAGGTCCAAATACAACACAGACCAAGCCCCCACCTCGCAGCCCCATGCCTCGGCCATCGTAGCCAGCTCCCCCTTGTTGTAATTGATGCCAATTAACGAGCATTTCGACTTATTAATTCTCATACCTGATACAAAACAAAATAAATCAAGCACCACCAGAAGATTGTGCCAATAATCCGGCCTGTCCCCAAACAAGAAAATAGTGTCATCGGTAAATTGGAGATGGGACACCTCCACCTGATCCCGACCAGCAACAAGACCATGAAACACATCCATCTCCTGAGCTTTCTCAAGAAGCCTACTCAGCACGTCAATCACCAAGGTGAAGAGAAAAGGGGAAAGCGGGTCCCCCTGTCTCAACCCTCTAGAAGCCTTAAATTTTCCTATAGGCCTACCATTGATCATGATAGAAAAATTTGCCAAATAAAGACAACCAGGAATCCAGCTTCTCCACCTTCCCCCAAACCCTTTTCTAACCATAACCTCATCCACAAATTGCCACTCCACACGATCATATGCCTTCTCAAAGTCAATTTTAAAAACAGAACCAGCCGCATTATGTTTCCTACTCTCCTCCACCACCTCATTAGTGATCAAGGCAGCATCTAAAATCTGCCGATCCCTCCCAAAAGCACCTGGGGAAATGGAAATAGTACTCCCCATCACCTCCCTTCATTCTACAAGTCAAAACTTTAGAAAACACCTTATACAAGCTAGTCACAAGATTAATAGGACGAAAATCACTCACTTTGACCGAATCCAACTTTTGGGTATAAGGCAAATGAACATTTCATTTGTGATAGTGTTGATAATGCCAGTGTTGTAAAACTCCTCCATAACCTTCAAGAAATCCTCTTTAACAGTTTCTCAACAAGATTAGAAAAGAAACATAGAGAAACCATCAGGCTCAGGAGATTTATCTCTCCCGCAATCGAAGATAGCCCTTTTGACCTCCTGCTTTTCAAAGGGTCTCTCAAGCCAATCAGCCTCAGCAGAACTAATACAGTTCCAATTTAGGCCCTCCAAGCCCTAGCCCGCCTCATCATTACTGCTATAAAGAGTTTTGAAAAAGTTCAGATTTCAGTCTCAATATCCCCTTCATTTTCAATCACCCCAGCACCCTCCACTTCCGGCCTCTCAATAAAGTTCCTCTTCCTCCTACCATTGGCCAAGCGAAGGAAAAAATTTGTGTTCCCATCACTATCTCTAGCCCACTCCACTTTTCCCCTCTGTCTCCATCTCACCTCTTTCTTATGAACCAAATCGCCAACAAGAATAGTGAGATCGGCCCTCCCCTTCCTCGTCACAATCCAGGCCATAAAGACCTTCATTCAAATCAATTTATGCATTTTTGGCTTATTGACGTAGTACAGCCCGTAGGTATTAGATTGAGCACTCAAACAATAGAACATAGAAGAATTTAAAAGATCGAGGAGACGAAAATATAGATTGAAGGGACGAAAGAAAGGACCGAAATCAGAGAACCGAGAAGGAAGAACAGAAATCACATAGTTTTAAGAGAAGGTTTACTCAATATCCAAATCTGAATTTTAAAGAACTACATGGGGATATTTATAGCAAACTAAAACCTAGACATAATAGGATAAAAATCCCTTGCTTAAAGGGAAATCCTAACCCCAATAAAATAGGAAACTTAAAACTAGAAATCTGGAAATCTGGAAAAGTAGAAATCCTACTAGAATTGGGAAAACTAGAGAATCTAGGAAACTACCAAATACATTAGGAAACTAATAAATTTAGGTCATATGCGTCCTGCATCATTCTCTTCCGCCGAAAAGAACTCGACTCCGACGAGTAAACAGCGACAAAATCAAAATCCAAAGTAAGTGTGAAGAGGCATGTTGCGTTTTTTAGGTCGTCAAGATCAGCATCATATTTGCCCCCTTGAAACCAGCCGTTCCGCAAGCATGGAACATTAGTCCTTGTAAGAATGGCAAATAGAGAGCTCTGCCTAGACCCATGATGAACGTGATCGGCCAACGAATGCAAGCGTGTGTGTGGGTGTGACAGACCCTTAATCCATTGTGTTCGTAAATCGTCGCCAGAGTGTCTTGGTTCAAGAAAAACACCTAGCTTGGCATGTCGGGTTATCTCAAAATCCAAGGGTCGGTGCATGAAGTTCTTGTTGTGTGGTCGGGGTGGCGGAGTAGGGACATGAATGTTGTCGTCAACCAAAGGAGAACCCATTGTATGTTGGATATGGTTAGGCTGCAGCATAGAACCAAAAGAAAATATGGGTTCCAATTGAGCCCTGGGAATGCCAATCGATAATCCCGTTGATTGATTCGGAATACCTTGTGGCTTGGCCTTGAGTTTTTGATCCAGCGGTGGATTGGGAAGAAGGCCACCTTTTGGCAGCGGCGTAAACGAACTTGAGAGCACAGCTGAGGTAGAAGAAGGCTCAGTCATTCCAAGCCGAAAGTGATTGAGAAGCATCTGAACGGAGTCTTGGAGTTTGGCGATGGCGAGGTCCGTCGTCGCACGATGTTCTTTGAGGTCAGTGCTGAACTTGGAGAGCTGGGTTTTTATGCCAGCGATGTCGTCAGAAACCCTGTCTTGGAACGCATGACATTGTTCCGCAAGGTTGGCCACGGTTTGGGGTGCCATGGCAGAGAGCAAATGCAAGCGAAAGGGAGGGAAGGCTCTGATTACCAATTGATGTAGTACAGCCCATAGGTATTAGATTAAGCACTCAAACAATAGAACATAGAAGAATTTAAAAGATCGAGGAGACGAAAATATAGATCGAATGGACGAAAGAAAGGACCGAAATCAGAGAACCGAGAAGGAAGAACAGAAATCACATAGTTTTAAGAGAAGGTTTACTCAATACCAAATCTGAATTTTAAAGAACTACATGGGGGTATTTATAGCAAACTAAAACCTAGACATAATAGGATAAAAATCCCTTGCTTAAAGGGAAATCCTAACCCAAATAAAATAGGAAACTTAAAACTAGAAATCTGGAAATCTGGAAAAGTAGAAATCCTACTAGAATTGGGAAAACTAGAGAATCTAGGAAACTAACAAATACATTAGGAAACTAATAAATTTAGGTCATATGCGTCCTGCATCACTTATGCCTCCCTTTTAGCAGCAATCGCATCCCCAACACCTCTTTACTCCAAACTTCTTATTTCCCCTTTAAAGATTTTAACCTCCTCATGAATTTGTAACCGTTACACCCCTGACTCTGATCTTCTACCCACCAGTCCTTAAATTTCCTATTAAAGTCGGGGTGCTTCAGACACATGTTTTCAAAACGAAAAGGACCCGGCCCCCACTTCAATTTAGAAGTATCCAACTCAATGGGGCAGTGATCAGAGATGACCCAAACCAACGCCTTCTGTCTGACATTGAAAAAGCAATCTTCCCACCTACCCATGAATAGAAAACGATCAAGCCTTCTACACATAGCATTTTCTCTAAAATTAGACCAAATAAAGGAAGCATTGAGAAGACGAGGGTCCCGAAGATTCGTGTCGCTAATGAAGTTATTGAATACCCTCATGCTGCTCGTCATCCCACCCCCATTAGATTTCTCAGTGACATATCTAACGACGTTAAAGTCACCTCCAATGCACCACTTAGCACCACAACCCATAAAGACCAGCCAACTCCCAGAACTGACTTCTTTCCCTTGGCCGACAAGGACCATAAATACCAGATAGCCACCAGTCAACCACCGAATTTCCTCTAATTTTAATAGAAGCTGAAAACTCCCCAATTTCAGAGTCAGAGACGATAGGGATATCCTGAGTGTTCCATATAATTGCAATACAACCAGACCTTCCTGTTGGAGGGACACAGACCCAGTCCCTAAATCTGGAACCCCACACACTAGCCACCAATCTCCTGTCAATCACTTCTTTGTTAGTCTCTTGCAGAATCATCATATCTGGCCTAAGCCGCACCAACTGCTCCTTCAAAATCATCCTCTTTGTAACATCACTGCCTCCAAACTGTCCACTTCCAACTCTGGCGACCCTTCCCCATACTTGCTTCTTGATTTGCAGGATCGACTAAAACTGTCCTGGAGTAAGTTCTTCTTAAGAGGAACAATAGGATTGACTAAAACTGGCCCGAAGCATTTTTACACATCACAGACCAGGGGGAATAGAGACAACAAGAAGACTATCAGCTTTAATACTTTTAGGGCTTGGTTGTATGTCATCTCCAGCTAATTAGGGCTCAGCTTCAGCCCCAGCAACTTGGGCAGGGCACCCAGTTCAAGCCACCCTAAGCTGCCATCCTGATTTCATAGTTAACACGTAATGAAGTTTTATGGTTTACAACAAGGGAGTCTTTCACTTCAGGTCTCTTTGGTGCAATGTTAGCTGTTAGTTGTATCAATTATTGTTCTAAAAGATAAATAGAAAAGCACCAATGATATTATATAAAATGCATCAAGTACTTTAAAAACAACAGGAATATACATTTAAAACCTCTCTCACACACACAGAGACACATAAATACAGAGACAGACAGACATACAGATATTTATTTGACTTTCCTCCATTTTTGTGTATTTGACGATCCACATTTAAAACAGAACCACTCATGGATGTATCTAAGCAACTTGTAACCGAATACAATTACTTAAAACATTTATGGGTTTATACCCGATTGGTCTTCACAAGTACCATGTAGAGTCCAATGCATATCCGCATTCAGGAGATTGACATACAGATGTCCCAAAGGTGCCAATTAAGTCTGGAAGGTGCAAAACCCAAAATTGTTATATCTAATTCATCCTAGAGTTAACTCCACTCCTAACATTTCTCTTTTCGCTACATGTGCTGGCAAACTAATGTTTAAAGTTGTATCTTTGATGGAGTTCCCTATGTATGAAGCATTATATTAGAACCAAACCTTACATTAAAACCAAACGTCAAACATCTTAATAAAATGCTTGTCATTAGGCAGCATGACAAACTTTTGGAGAACGAATTCCAAATTGTATCCTATTGATCTACAACAGTGTCAAGAAGCATTACTGAGATCGGCTAAATCCATCCAAACATAAATTGTCAAGATAACTGTGGAAAATAAATCAACTTACCTTAGCAAGCAAAGTCTTTCCAGTTCCTGGTGCTCCTGTCAAAAGAATTCCCTGCAATTTAAGTATGTCTTAGAATCATTTGCTATATCAAGCCCAAAAAAAATTTCATATATAACCCTGGTTTAAAATGTCAATAAAAAAGGGATCATATTTAACCATGAGGAAGAAAATATCAATGAGTTGAAATTAACAGAAGTTTCAGTGGCAATATCAACGTCAATGAAAATTTAGGTAAAAGTTACGGAAACAATGAAGATTCACTTTAAAACATGAAAGCCTGCATAAAACTTCGAAGATATCGGCGACATCTGGAAATTTTGCCCAAAAATCCTCCAGTTGTCACAGATATGTAGCTCAATATCAAAGATTCTGTTTAATTTCAAACCAATAAGAAATTTAATGGGTATGTTACTGAGGTTTTGGAAATTCTAATCAGTGTTGCAGTACCCAAATCTCAACTACGACCGATATATCAATAATTTCATCACTGAGTATTACATAGCAGACAATAAAGAGCAAAGCAAATATAAATGATCAAAGTACAAGTTTAGGAAACAAATACTACAATACCAAAGTAATTTGATGGAAAGACGACTTTTGTTGATGCCTTCTTCAAGTAGCAAGATAGTAAAAGGTAAAACTGTGGAGCAGAATGAACGTACAGAAGAGAACTCAACTCAAAGTAACGTATAACCCAGAAGCTAGCACAAACCTTTGGCAATTTGCCCCCAAGGCGAGTAAACTTAGTTGGGTTTTTCAGGTACTCCACTACCTCCTCAAGCTCCTGCTTTGCATCATCACAACCTTTCACATCTTTAAATGTTTTAACGTTCTGCAAGAAAACAAAGAAAATGGCAGGAATCCTGATCAAACAGTATATTTCACATCAATGATAGATCCACACCCCACCCCCCACCCCAAAAATAATAAACAACCTCCCAAACCAAGAACGTAATTGCTGCCAAGGACAGTAACAATCTTTTAATTTTTTTTTTTCTAATAAGAAAGAACCAATGTAGTTAGCAATTAATAGGAAAAGTACACGACTTGAAGTGAAACACGAAACTAATTACTAGAATTAGACAGTTATCTTCTGTGTATTAACCTGCTCTAAATCCAATTTACATTAGAAGTTTTAGCACTCACCTAAATTCGGGAACCTAAATTCTTTAATCTTCTTCTGTCCATAAAGAAATGTGTGTGAGAGAGAGAGAGTGTGTATGTGTGCATTTGACAAACTAAATGTAGTAGAGAGGTGGATTACTTTCACGATTCTGGCTGTTGTATTTACCGATTGTACATGTAGGGTTTTCTTAATAAAATTGGTGTTTCTTATCAAAAAAAATAAATAAATAAAAACCTCTGATCACAGAAGATTAAGCATCTACCTTTTCTGGAATGACTTCTTTATTCAACTCTTTTGGGGCATAGGAAGAACTTGAGCCAACACCAGAAGTACCTATCCCACCCAAGCTCCCTATGTACTTTTGAAGAGCAGCAGCACCCATGAACCTTAGCAAGTTCCACATTCAATAATAGGAATACTAAAGCTTAACAGCAAGCAGTAACTAGTAACTACAGAGTGAGAGAGAGAGAGAGAGAGAGAGAGAGAGAGAGTACAGAAATTAATTGTTCATACCACACTAATCCAACAGCAACTGTGAACAGGATAGTTGAGATAAGCTCTTGTGCAAAACGAGATTTGTTTGATACTTTAGGTTCAACCTAATAAATGAGTCGTGGATTAGGATTAGGGACTAAAACAAAAGTAAGGGGAGGGAGAGAAAAGAGCGAGTAGATGGAAATCAAGACAAAATAAACCAGGCCAAAGCACAGAATGCGGACAATATTTTTCTGCACAAAATTACAAGTTGAAATGAGACTTACCATCACTACATGCAATGGCTGCTTCTCATTTATGCCAGGGTTGAGAAAGGGCTCATCCATGTTGCCTGATGCACGCTGCTTCAACTCTTGCAGCTGCATATATACTCACCCATTATTCAAACAAAACTACTGCATCACAAGGAACACAAAAAGAAGATGCCAAGAAAAAAAAACTGAAAAAGGAACAGAGGAAGTAATTATGAGATGAAAGAGCACAGTTAAGATTAATAGAAGGGTGAAGGGGCTTTTATTTCTTGAGTGGTCTCAACTACAGCATAGTGCCATTACAATAACAACTGACATTAGCAGTTAAAAAAGTGTCTTGGCATCTTTAATATTTTTCTTATATGTGTCTACTGAGGTTCAATAAAGATATTTCATTATTTCTTCAAAATATGAGCAAGAAGATGATTGCCAGCCCACTGTGACCCTACTCTGAATTGAAAGTTTCCGCAACTGCAAATATATATAATAGTTCTTTATTTTAGTTATGGGAACAGGTGGGAGAAAGAACATTAATTCTTTCTTTTGGATTAGTTATGGCAGATGGTACTATTACAGAAGAATATTGCTAACATCTGAAGTCTAAAGTTTCACAAACAACCTTCAAAGCAAACATGCAACACATGCTTTGAGAGTTAAGGAGAGGCCATTTCAACCAATGTATCAACCTAAGGTAGAAAGAAAAAGAAATGATGGATATGGAAGGTTGAGACACTAATGGTGTTTATTGACATGGAAATTACTAGTAGTCTTCTGGAATATAAATGAAATCTTTCCAGCTTACTGGGCTTAAACTGAATACACCTTTCTTGTAAAGTACACATCTGATGTTTTAGAGTGGTCAAGCAGCGCAAGAATGAAGATAATCAAAGAAGAGTAGATTTTCCAGTCATATTATGCTTGCATCAATGGTGGAGGAAGTGACATGGACCCATTATAGACTTTTCATAATCTTATCTTGGTAACATTCCAACTAAAATGCATCGACAAGTTACTGCACATATCTATCCATATATTTAAATTATACAATGACCGAGTCCCTTTGTCTTTGGCGACACACACTCCTCTCAGATAGAACCTGAGTACATGGGACCTGTAGGTAACTGAAAAGCAAGTTTCCATAAGGAGCTCTGGACATTAAAATAAGAACCTACTTCTACATTTATGTAATGAGATTGTATAGTCTGGAATCCCAATTTTCCTATCTTTTTCTAGCCTACTCTTCTACAAATGCACAACCATTAGGATAACTGTATCAATTTTACATTGTACAACAAAGGAGATTAATTGATTCCATCCAAAAGAATTTCATATTCTTAGTGCCTCTTTTCCTTTTTCCATCTGTGGCATATTGGTAGTTCATTGATATAACTTGAACCCTTAGAACCTCCATTTAAACACAAAAGGAAGAAACACTTAGTTTGTGTTTGGGATAAAAATCAAATATCAATCACACTCCAGGACTAGTAGGTAAGAGCCTAGAAGTTCCACAAACAAGATGATGATGATGATCTTATAGTGGATAAAAAACTGTACAGGAGAGTTTAATTTTTCTTTTGGGTGGGGGAGCAAACAAATTATACAATGCAGGGTCACATGATTACCAACGAAGGAAGACTAGAAGGCTTTCCAGATTCCTCGTCTGGAAGATACTCAGCAATAGTATCAGTGACCACAAGAGCTCGAAGATACTCTGCAACTCCTTTACTGTCCACACTGTGATCCCTTTGTTCAAAGCGCTTGATGACAGACTCAGGACTGAAAGAAAATATCAAAGCTTAGTTAACTATGAACAGTGCAGGGCAGGGGGAGTAGAGACCCAAAAGGTTGACGACATAGGTAAAGAAATAGATCAAACCAATTGCTTTTCTATCAGTCTTCCAAGGAATATGAAAAATTACATAGCATACATGACTACAGCATACATCGCTTCAAACGTAAAAACACCAAATCCTATTTTGATCGGGTCAAACATGATGTACATGTAAAATTAGGAAAAATGTAACTAAAGTGATTAACATAAAAGTATATTTGGATTGTTAAAAATTGCAAATTTATCCTACACACTCAACTATGAAAAAAGTTTTATTTAATTTAATGATGCAGCAGCTACAGCTTGGTTAGACAAAAAATATCCTCTTTGGCAGCCCAAGACTAAGTACATTGCCCCAAATCTGAAAATAAAGCCTTTTTAGAATAAAGTGAAGTGTTCGTTGAAGCTTGGGGCCTTCAGCAAATCAGATTAGATTGGATGAAAATTTCAGTGTTTGCTGAAGGCTTGGTGCCTTTGTACCTCTTCTACCTTCTCTCTCTTCTTTCTAAGTTCTTCTCCATATCTCTGTCTTCTCTGAAATACAGCAACCCTAAACCTTACTTCCTCTCTAAAAATTTTAATTCAAATTTCCATCAGCCTAAAACCCACCATAACCATACTTGAACACCCATCCAGTGCTGTCCAGCATTATTTAATCTCCAGAAATATTGGAAGTAAAAATAAATAAAATTGAAGCTTCTTTAGTACTTAGTTAAAATATTGATTCTCTTTCCCTTTCCCAATTTTCTTATCAACCAACTAGAACATGATTAAAGAAAGAACAAATTCAAAAAACTGGAGAAACTTCCACTCCAAAAGTACGCCTATTTGGTTCCGAACAAAGGGAGCGCAAACAGCACAAGGGGATAATCTTCCAAGTCCCAACAGCCCTATTATTCCTCTTCACAAAACCTCATCTCCACGGGCATAACAACCACTCAATACAGAAGATGGCACAACCCAAGAAAGACCAAGGCAAAGAAAAAGAGATAACCCCACAGCTCTTGGGAGACAGGGCAATGCAAGAAAATACGACTAGTCGACTCCTCTGCATCCTTGCAGAAACAACACTGAGTAACAACTACCTGCCCTAGTTTAATCAGATTGGTAACACAGTTAAAACTTCCCCAAAGAAACAGGTTTTTCCACCATTTACTGAGACTAATACAGTGATATGGTTTCACTTTAACTGGTTATCACACTATATAACAACAGCAACATAACATTTTATACTTTAGGGAAGAAAAAAATTATTTTCTCAGTGATAATAGAAATTATAGCACAAATACCCTATAGCCTAACCTGTGTTTGTTGAGCTCAGCCAGCAGAGCACTCTGTTTCACGGGGTCCTTGGGATTGGCATCGGCCTCTGCAATCAAAAGCTCCAACCGTTTTTCCTGCCGCCAAAATGGCCACCAACTGAACCAATTGGAGGCCAATACCTTCTCAAATCTTCCTTTTGCAGTTGCCCACAACCCCATCAAGAACACCACCAATGGTATTCCAGTCCCACTCTTCTGCCCCACCAAATTCCCACTCTTTCCCTCAGCTTCCACCTCTTTCTCACTCTTTCCATCCCCCTTCTCCAAACCCACTTTGCCAAACTTACTCTTCACCTCAAATTCCAATTTTTCACCTCCAAATTCATCAGTTTCCGGCTTCCCCACATTTGAAACCGAGCTATTCTCACCACTAAATTCCTTCAAACTCGAATCCTTGACCTCAGAACTTAAATGGGAATCCACCAAATCCGATTCTTGATTTAAATTCACATTCGCATTGTCAGGGTGCAATGTGCAAGAAACCAATGAAGTCCGAGGGCCAAATCCGAAATTTCTAGAACTTTGTGGTGCAGAGAGATAGTTATTAGGCAGAGATACCGGGGTGTAAGTAAAAGAGGCGCAGCGGGAGAACTGGAAGCGTTTCAATTTAGAAGAAGGAGTAGGAGAGAGTGAAAGGTTAAGAAGAAGCGAACCTTGCAGAGTGGTCATTGTTTAGGGTTTATCAAAATGGCTTTCTTTCTCTCCCTCTATCTCCCCCACCCTCTCTCTCTCTCTCTCTCTCTCTTGTACAAAAAAGGGTGTGCAAAGAGACGGTTTTCTTTCTCTTCTTTCGGTCAATGTGCGCAAAGACAGAGTTTGAGAGCCACAAAATTGCGTGAGAGAAGATTAGAGGGAAGAGAGAAAACCTTATCTTGGGATTGAAATTGGCGCCGGCTTCTAGTTTGTGGTTTTTGCCATCCCTATTTTACAAGTATACCACTACAACTATTGAGTCTGAGAGAAATTTATACATACTAAAAGCTCTAGCGGGGGAGATTTCAGGTCTAAACGGGTATCGGGTACGGGGATCCCTGAACTTGAAAAATTCCTGATGGGTATGGGGAGGGGATGGTATTGGCGTACACATTCCCGAACCCAATCTGAAAATATATATGTTTATATTTAAATAAATAAATATATAATTATAATATTTATGTTTAACCTTAAGTTAACCTCCCTCTCCTAATTCTTCATAATCTTCTCTAGAATTCCATATTGATATTATTTTGAATAGTTGACTTGAACTTTATAGTTAATTTGGATGTGTTGAATGATAATTTAATATGAAACTTAATGTTAAAATGTATGATAAATATTTGTTATGCACAAAAAATCGAGGATTCGGGGCCGGTATGGGGGATAGTCCCTCAACAGGGACAGGAACGGGAATTCCCCAAAACCTATTAAACCGGGATGGGTCCGGGGAAGGGGGCGGGGATGGTATTGTCATACCCGGCCCCTACCCGACCCGTTGCCATCCCTAAATCAAACTAGACACTGTTCCTAAGCAAAGTGGAGTGACGCAAATGCCCCCCGTTTTACTGTTACTCAACCTCTTTTTTTTCCAATAGCACAGTAAAATATCCCAACTACCCTCCACTAAACCTTTTCTTATGTTCCCTTTTTGCCCCTCCCCTGCGACTGTTTAGTTTTTACAGAGACGCCGTTCATTTCGAACCAGCTTGGTTGAGTTGGTTGGGAGGCAGCGATGTGATGCGTTGCTTGGATTTTAGGGATTCGTTTGGGGCCGTCATTTCCCATTCGAGGTGGCGCATTGCGAATCTCGCCCTTCTTTTGGTCTTCATCTCATTGATTTGTTTGTTGGTTGAGAGATTCTTTGTCATTCATAGAGCATTGGTCTGAGAGATCTTCCATCTTTGTTAGCTACCTCAACTTAGATTGCTCGTATTTGTTGGGTTTTCTTCTTCAACTTTTTAGTTTTTTCTTCCTTTTTCTCCTCTTCTTTCTTGACCATGTCTTCTTTTGATGTTTTGTAGGTGGGATTTTTCTATTTTAGATAGAGCTGTTTGGTTGTTGTTTTCGTTTTTGTTAAGCAAGAAGTGAGTTTCTTGACTGAAATCAATTGGAAGAAATTAATTGTTTTCGGTTTTGTTTTAGCTAACGACATTGATTGACAATTTGTGTTGATCGTTTAGCCATATATATTGTTCTTCTTTAGTCCTTAATGATGAATTGTTGGTATGGACAAAACTCTTTTTCTTTTTCTTTTTTACAAAACAATTGACTAAACCATCAACGCCACAGAAGGAGAAATCCTTTTTTCTGTAGCTGGATACCAAGAAAGTTTTGGATGCATTGTCTATCAAAATCATAAAGGAAAATATAATTATGATGGTAAAAATGACTGTTTAAAAGGAAATTACACCACAACATGGTTCAAAAGACTCCAAACTTGTAAAAACCAAGGTCTTAAATATCAATAGTTTTCGAAATATCGGTGGTTCAAAAACACGAAAATATCGGGAAAATATTGATATCGATAAAAATTGAATAAAAACCACGGAAATTGTGATAAATACATGGAAATTTTTAATGAAACTTTAGAAGAAGTTTATTTAGTCAATCATCTATTATTTTGACACAAAAAATTGGAAGGAAATGCATTGCATAGTGGGTTTGAGTGGTTTAAGTTGATTATATTGCGAGCTGACAAACTCTGTGACTTAGAAAATCTGGAGTAATTAATGAAAGAGAATTAAACACCCCCTAGTAATTTATTTATCATTTTTTAGTACAATATTTTACATGGTAAGATACATGAGTAACTTTATTTCACATTATTCACTGGACATGGTACACGTTCTTATATTTATTATTTATCAAAAATTAAAAATAAAAGATGTAAACCAACTTGATTTTTCATGAAAATTAGGCACTTTACCATGCTTAAAAAATAATAGTGAAGATTGAAAATTAACTAAGAACATAAATAAATTTATCCAAGGAAGAATTAAATAGTAGATAAAGAAAATAATTATAGAGATTTAAGTAATTAAGCAACAATTTGAAGGGAAATTTAGTAATGTAAGTACTTATAATGAATAATAAAATAATCAATAACATTAAATGGATTAAAGATTCATTCTCATGTGAAAATTTGATTCTTGCAAAAAGAATTCAAAACAAAACAATATAAATATAAATATTTTAGCATATTATCATAAAAACATAAGTGATATAGTGGTTAAGGTGTTGGAGGAGTAAAAAAATCTATACAAATAAATAAATTCAAAAAAATCTATACAAAATAACCAAAACAAAAACTCAATCAATTAACCAAAACCCAACAATCCATCCTAATTAATTAAAGCATAAAGAGAAATAACTTTGAAATTTGCGAGAGAAATTAATTTTCCAAACAAATTGTGGAGGGTTGGTCCATTGGTGGATGGCGTATCTCTTCTAGTTTTGGAGTCATGGCTTATGCCCACTTCACAATCCTTCTTTTGCCTCTAAAACAAATGGGTTTCCACCAAATGAATCAAAACAGAGAAGGAGAGAGATCCTTTCAGGGTTTCGTTGCTGAATGAATGTAATGGAATTTACTTGTACCAATTTGAGAGAGTGAGAGATAGTCAATGATAATGAAAAAAGCACAAAGAGAAAAGCTAATGGATGATGGAGGCAAAGGAGAATTGAGAAAAAAGGAATGTGGTTGTGGAGTTGGCCGGTATGGGTAGTGGTGGCCCTTTCTTTCTTTTTATTTTTTTATTTTTTTATTTTTTTATTTTTTTCACTTGGACCAAAACTATGCGTTTTGGACATATCACTTAAAAAAAAGAAGCCAAGCAGCCCTGCGCAAAGGAGCTGCTGCCTGGAGCTTCTTTGGAGCAAATAATCGAACAGCTGGTGGGCAGTAGCAGAGGGGCATTTCCAGCTTCTCAAAGTGATTTTCCAGCGAGGGGAGGTGCAGGTGCACCTCCTTGCGCCTCTGTAGATCCGCCAGTGATGGGTTGCTAAGCGAACTGTTGAATCCTTTAATTCCTTACTCAAATTGGTTCCTAGAACGAGTCAATGATTGGTTTAGAAGATAAGTCTTTAAGAACAATGGTTGTTGGCATATAAGAGTTCATTTTCTCTTGTTGAGCAAACTGTTTTATTCTCTGTTTTAGAAACATTTTCTTTCGTCCCAACAAAAGCAATCAATTCATCAAGGGTTAATCTAAATTGTGTAATGATCTATTGTTGTTAATATTTTTTTTTTGTTTTTTTTGTTTTTATACTACTTTTGTTTAATATATATTCATTTGGTGATTTCATGTTAGAGATGTTAAAAACTCTGTTAATAGCTATTTGATGTGGTCTGCTGCCAATATATGACTATGAATGAACATGTATGAGATAGAGTGAAAGAGAGACCAACCTAATGACATTGATGACTGCTGGAGAGAGAGAAACAGAGGAGAATAGTATATGTGTGTTGTTTATCTTTGTAGTTAAAGATAGGCAAGAGACACTTGAGACTCAAGGCTATTCTCACTGTAATGTAAATAATGAATTACATACTATTTGAGCCTAATTTCTGCGCACCAGCCCATTTGACTATTGGGCTAATTTGACGGCACAGGTTTGGGCTCTATTTTGCCAAAATTGGAAGTCAGCCCAGGACATTTTGAAGGCCCAGGCCATTTCAGGCTCTTTAATTCAAATTAAACTCGATTAAAATTATCATTGAGAAACTTTAATCGGAAGATAAAGAAATTAAAACCAATTTAATTTTTCAATGTTATCTTTTATTAATGATTGTTCAGAAAATGGAGTTGCTTAATATCTAATCTTTTAATTTAAAAGCATGCTAAGTCAGTTCTTAACAATGAGAAAAGTATAATTGAACTCATGAAAAGATAGTAGCACTTAACATCAATCAAAATAAAAGGATATGAAAATATTGAACAACCAAAAATAAAAGAATTTAGCAACTCATATCGTATATTGGATTAAAGAACAATTCACAAACTTGCTCAAAGGACATTCCCTTTAGCATTAGCTAGAGTTCTGGCTACTCATTACAAAGAAAAACATAACTAAATTTTGAATGAAATGGATAAAGAAATCTGTCATAGAGGTTCCCTTACTAAATAAGAAATCTATTGTAGAGGTCCCCATAACCATTAAATGCTAGAAAAGCAGGCCAAGTTTCCTTCCCATACTCGTGAGGGTCTCATCAGTGCAAACTTGGTTTACAAGAGACGAACAAGAAATAAGAGGGTAGGTTGTCAAAAGGTCAAAACTGATCATCATAAAAACTAACTTTTGACGTGGGCTTTCTTGTCAGAATGACTACTACTCCCTTGTTTGCTGGAGCGAAAACCTCTTAGCAAATATCCTCTAGATACTAAAGAATCATCACTCATGTAGATTTCCTATAAATATAGGAGGATGTGAATTGGATCAAAGAAAGCAAAAAATCCAATCAAGATAAAAACTCTCACTCATATTGACAAAAATCAAGCAAGATTAGACGATCCCAAAAGTCTCCAAACTCAGAAGCAATCAAGCTATCCGGTTTGTAAAAGCCATCTAGCTTCCAACAAAACAGGCAGAACTCAGATTTTCTGACTTCAATTCAGCTCAAAGAAGCAATTCACAAAGGAAAAAAAATATCTTTCTCGTAGCAAATTTGGTTCAGAGCGGGTGAACCAAGTGGAGTTCAGGTTTTTCATAATATGAAAACCTCATAATAACCCTCAGGTGACCCCTAGCCATAACAGAACAGGTACTGAAGTGCGATTCTGTAACAACCCGGTCCTAAATTAGTAGTTAAATATTAAATTATTCAAGAAAAAAACAATTTTACCCCGGGAATATTTAAATGATTTTAGAATTGACTTTTTTGTTCGGGGAACATTTTGGTGAAACTGTAACATCCTGGTCCGAAAGATTAATAAAATAATTAAAAT